AAATTTACTTATAATAGAAACAGGACAAGCTGGCCCTTCTGTACTAGACAAAAACAAGGTAGCCTTTTACGTAATTGGTCTGTTTTTGATTGTCTTATAGTCAGCCTAACCTGCTTTTGTTCGTTGATTTGAATGATGTCAATGTCGCTTTGTTGCAAAGGTCGTGAGTCCCGTCCTCTTAGTGATTTACAGGTCAATTCGCCTACTCTTAAGAAGCCAAAAAATGCCAAGCAAAAGACAGCCTTAAAAAGGTTACCTTCATAACTGGAGGAACAGACCTTCTCTAAAGCCTGTAGAAGTGCTACCAGTATCTCTAAAGTAATAGGGGCTCGTGTATCTTGTTTTGGCACAAGCCTTGCAGCCCCTTCCAATTTTGAAACAATAAAAGATTTTGTGACGTCTGCAAAACCATGAATTTTGTGCATGTATGACAAGCCCGAAATGTATGTCTTAATAGATCCAGGTGTTTTCCCCTCAGCTGACATATAAGCTATAAAATGAACTACATGATCTACCGGAGCTGGCCAAGTAGACGGAAAACCAAACAAATACCTGAAATGATTGAAACTTTCGAAAGCAGCCTTATATGTGTGCCATGTATTCTCAGCCATAGAGGCCTTTAACAGTTTATTGGTTTCCAAAGTCAAATCTCCCAGATTTCTAGGGGCAACTGGATAGGTGCTGGGTCTGCTTGTGGAGCCAAATCCCGAAAACGACGCCACTGGCAACGAGAAATAGAATCTGCAATTGCGTTTGATTTGGTATCTATGTACTCTGCCTTAAATCTTATGTTAAAATAAAGGATATTAAGCACAAGTTTCCTAACCAGTTTCATAACGTCTTCAGATTTAGAAGTTTGTTTGTTGACTATGTGTTCAACTGATTGATTGTCAATATGGAATAATATCTTTTTATTAGCCAACTGATAACCCCACACTAATATAGCTGCTACCACAGGGAACAACTCAAGAAATGTCATGTCACGCAGCCTTCCTGTTTCCGACCAATGCTGAGGCCATCTACCAAAAGCCTACCTATTCTGAAAAAATATTCCAAATCCCCCCGACCTACCCCCTACACTATCTGTATATAACTGGAGAGTATCATTGGAGACTCATAGTCTCTCAGGAAAGAGGGTCACTCCATTATAATGGTTAAGGAAATCGAGCCACATAACTCAGTCTAATTTCATAGAAGATGTTACTCTTATTACGTGTTTTGCCTTCCTTACACCTATCGTGGCATCAATGAGTCTCTTAATAAAAGCTTTACCTGCTGCAACTACCTGACAAGCAAAATTCAATAACCCTATTATAGACTGTAGGTCTCGTAAAGTAACCTTTTTGGCCTTTAAAGTGTTTTGAATTTTAGTACGTAGCTCAGTCAACTTGTCTTGTGGTAAGCGCATAATCATAGATACAGTATCAAATTCCACTCCTAGAAATGTCAAACATGTTGTGGGTTCTACCGTCTTGTCATTAGCTATTGGGACCCCCAGAACAGCACAGGCCTGATGAAATGTATCAAGAGTATGTTTACAAATACAGTCACTTGCTTTTCCTGCAAATACAAAATCATCAAGATAATGTATTAGGTTTTGATTATTTGATTTTTTACTAATGAGCTAATGCAAGAATGTACTAAACTGATTAAATAAGGCACAAGAAAGCTTGGAACCAAAATGGCAAACATTTGTCATAATAATATTTTCCATTGCATTTGATGCCTAAAAGGTCAAAGTCCCCTGGGTAAATGGGCAACAGGCGGAATGCACTCTTAAGGTCAGTTTTGGCCAATAAGGTACCCCGTCCCAATTCATGTATCATTGATACTGCTTCGTCTAGATTGCTATACTTCACAGTGCAAATGTTCGGGTCAATAAAATAATTAACTGAATCGAAGTCTGGGTAGGACAAGTGATGAATGAAACGAAAATCCCCATCTTTTTTGGGCACAAGGCCTACTGGTGATACGCGAAGTGTGGGTAAAGGAACATCGTGAAAAGGACCAGCCATCCTACCCAAGGTGACTTCTTTAGAGAGTTTTTGCTCTACAACTTGAGAGGCTACTCTGGCCGATTTAAGATTTCTTGCCTCCCTGTAAGTACTAGGGCCGGCGTAGTGCAGCGGAAAACCAAATTTAAAACCATCTAACAGTTGCTGTTTCTCTGTATTGAAAGGGTATGACTGTAATTCGTTGTACAGTTGGGTGTAATTAATGGGTGTGGTAGCAAGGTCATATAGAGTTGTATCGGCATTATTTCTGACTGAAGGAGCATTTGATTCCGGGGTGAGGTCCCCCACAGTTTGTGCATCTGTGTCTAAACCTGCAGGGATTAAATGAGCATGAGCCCCTATTAAAGGCAAAGCAGTTGCCAACAGACCTTGGTGACTGTGGTTTATTAATGTTATAGCCCTGGTTGAATCCGGACCTCCCGCCTTGGGTTGTTGTTCCGGGATATGTTGTTTGAGTCCGGGTGCGAAAGGAAATACCCCCAGCGTTTCCTGAAAGTATGCCCATATGAGATGTTTGTGAAGCAGATTGTTCTGGCTGCCCCGGTGTTATCAACATTACCCACAATTCAAAATCCACCCCCCCCCCATGATGAAGTAGAGTACCTCTCTTTTTTTAAGCGAAATTGCTCATCATACTTTGACCAACCCAAATGACCTTGTCTACTAGCGGCCAATCGAATACAATGCATATAATTAATCATTTCTTGGGCTTTCCCGTGAAACATCTCAAGGTATATTGACATGTATATAATAAACGCGTTAGTCCAAGTGTGTATATTATTTATTGACTTCAAGCGTTGTTTTTCGACAACTCATTGGCCATTTTTGATCACAAGCTCCCCAGTAATGTTAGGGTCTGTCCTAAGGTCATGAGCCTGTTTTAACAATAATGCCAGATCTATGTAAGAACCTGTCCATATTTTTTCTCGAATGGCTACAGGCACACGGCTGCCTATAGGGTCACAAATGCTAATTTCAGTCGATGGGCGACTACTTGTAACCTGCACCTGTTCCCCAGTCGAAAGACCCCCTATACATTGAGCTACAGAATTAAACGAGCCCGACCGATTCGTGTCCAAGCTTCTCGCTTCGTGCAAATTTTTATTGAAATCAATGTTTATACCTGGCCCTATACCTTGTTCGGCTGTAGTGGACCCTGTTCCCTCTGGTTACTAACACTTTCATCTAATGAGGGCACTGCCGGTGCTGCCTCGCTCTCTGGTTTGTCTGAATTCAGGGGCCCATCACTTTGACTTTGCGCTTCGACAAACCGTCTGCTCGGCAGGGATGGGGTAATCGTAATCAGTAATCGTAATCAGCTGTAATCGATTACAGTTTGCCAAGTAATCATGAGTAATCAGTAATCACCCATTTTTCTGATTACAAGTAATCGTTATTTAATCAATTACTCTGGAAAAAAGTCCTGTAATCATGATTACTTTTTTGATTACTTTACGATTACAATTATAAAAAACAAAGTTCATAAAATCATGTTTTTTGATGATTTTCAAGTTTACAAAATTGTTTATTAAAAAAGGTTGTTAAGCTATATTTAATTAAGTGTCTTCTAACGCCTCCAGAAATGCTTATAATCAGGTCCATTGTCCAGGCATTGAGTAAATTCTATCAGTTCCTTGCTATATTTAGTAGTCAGTTCAAAATACTTAGGCAGCTTAGCAATTCACTATTTTTTGACAAGATATATGTATATACTGATAGAAATTACTACAGAATCATTTTAAAGTTTGTTTCAATTAATGAAGATGCGTGTAATGCAACAATTTGTTTTCTCGGTAAGTCTTTGAAAAAAAAAAATTCATAACAAATGTTCCTTTATTGAGGCGTATTCTAAAATTCACTTTGCTTGATTTACAGTGTACATAAAAAGATAATGTGAATTAATTAGTCATAAAACACAGGTATACTAAAGTTGAGTCAGCTTGGGTAATAACAATTATTGAACTCTTCATGCTTGCCCAGTCAATGTGTTAATTCTAGTAAAAACATCTACCAGGTAATAATTGGCAGTTTAATTGAAAAGTCCATCACTGTCAAGAAGGGCAATTACTTGTGTAACAGCTCCCTATCGAATCCCTTTATCCCTACCTATCATTATGTCCAGTTTGATTTATTAAAGAAAACTTTAATAAATTCTTCTTTCTAATTCTCTCAATAGTAACAAAGTATTCACTTGTATTAAAGATAGAAATCAGGTGATATAAGATAAATATCAGGCATCTATATAAATACATATACAACCAAACTTTGTCTGAAATCTACCTTAAAAATATTAATGATATTTAAAATAGGAAGAATAAAAACATGACGTCCTTGAATATTAAGCAAAAAATTAAAACTTAGTGTAATCTAAAGTAATCAGAAGTAATCATGATTACATGAAGGAAAAGTAATCAGAAGTAATTGTTTACTTTCTGTCTGTAATCAGCCTATAATCGATTACTTTTAAAATCCAAAGTAATTGTAATTTAATCGATTACTTTTGAAAGTAATCGACCCCATCCCTACTGCTCGGTTTTCTTTTTCTTTTCGAACCATCGGAGCTCCATTGTCCTTCCTTGCGCCCCCTCTTCCTTGTTTTTGGAGGCATTGTAGCAACCTCTGGAGTTTCGATGACAGTGGATATTCACGATATTAGACTAAAAGTCTCTGAAATATTTTTAAAATGTCTGTCTGCTTCCACGCTCTTTTTCCAGAATGATCTAAATCAGTATCGCTGAGGGCTTGATTTAATTCATATTCATGGTCTTACGAAAGCTTGAATTTCGGGAATAAGGCTACAAGAGTTATCGCACTTTCACTGGAATTAAAGACATTTATCACAATATGGTGATAAATGCAATTAAGTCTAGTATGTATGTATAGTTATCAAAATAAACACTTAAGAAAAGTAATAGAAGACAACTTACAGTAGGTGAATATGAAATTGAGGTTCAAATGATGTTCACAGAATTATCTCTTTTACAGGTTGTGTTTATCAAAATTGAAAAATGTGTTTCTGATGATTATTGTCGCTATTTGGGATGTCTGTCAAACGTGTAAGTGGCATATTTTATTATGTTGATGTTGATAAATTCTTCTTAAACACGAATTAATAAATAGCATTTCTTATACAAGCATTCAAGGTTATTAGTTTTTTTAAGTTTTTGTTTTAAATTAATTTACAAATTATCTATAAAGAAGTATGTTTGAAATTTCTATTAAATTCTAGGCATTACTCAAATCAAAGTTTTGTTGTTTTTTGACCGTAGAGATTTTGGACAAATACGATCTCGAAGGAAAAAAAACCCTTTTCAATGGTTTCAATAATTCCACTGAACATTCTTATTACAACATATATATTTTTATTATAACATTTAGATGAAGATGATCCCTGTACTTCCTACAATGAAATCTCAGACCTACTGAAAAGAAGTCCATCCTACAATCAGGATGTGATGCCTCTCTGTGACAAACACCTGACTACTGGGTGGTATAGGGCAGGGTATCTTAAAATGCCAACATCTCCACCTGCTCTCGGATCTTGTGGGACAAATTATCCAGTCTGGTTAAATGGTAAGACTATAAACATTTTTCATATTAGAGATAGTGAAATGTTCTGCTTCGTTTGCAGGTAATATTTCAGACGAATGATAGTGAACAGAATCCATGAGTTATATTTTAAAAGCTGATTCGATACGCACTACGTATGAATAATTTCTAAAATGAGGTAAAATATTGACAAACAAGTTGATGAAACAAGAATATCAGCAGTCTCCTTTAAGGACATCATTTCGTTAGTTCTTTGATCGATACAAGAACCTTGTCAGCAAATACAATTTATGAATGAGTCAAATGCTGACTGACGTTTTTCATACTTATTGTAAGTCCATTATGTGTACACTGAATTGACGACAATTCATGAATTCATGACAAGGAGCACAAGGCGGATGAGACCGGTCAGCAGGGGATACTCACTCCTCCTGGCACCTGATCCCACCTTAGATGTTTTAGAGGTCCGTGTTGCACTGCTCCTATTTTGTATTGTTTGATGGACTTTGATGTTGAATACTGTTCGTTATCTCTATATCCTTCACACATCAGTATGTGTATTGATATGGAAGATATATCGTTTTGATAAAGCTTTCATTTTTTATGATAGAATAAAAATTAAGGACTTGTTACAGTTTCTACATGCGACCCCTTAATTTTTATTAACATCTAGATATGTCGTTGTTATATATAGTACTAAAAAGGTACGAGCATAAAATCTTATAAATTAACTACCTATTTTGTCCCTCAATATTTTTCTTGGAGATTGTTCTCTATTGAAAAAAATATTTCATTGAATATAGCATTAAGTTAAATGAAAAGAATATTTTTCAAAAACTCGTTTTTTTTATTTTCTTATACCTTGTCTCTCAAAAGACATTTTATTTGAATATCAAATTGCACACCGCGCCTAATCTATTAATCTTCAGAGGTAAATGTACCTGAGTCATTGGTTGTTACCTGACATGTTCATCGCCGCCCTATGTCTTAGTCTTTCTCCCTTTCTTTATATGTGAGGGAGTGTGTATGACAATGACAGACCATTGTTTATGCTTTCCAGTTCCATTGATATTTCTTCTTGTTGTACCTCTTCGAAAAGAAACGTTTTCATTTATTGTTATATCTCTATTTCTATAGGTGATCATCCTTCTACAAATGAAATGAAAAATGTTACAGTTTGCAAGGTTGGAACTGCAAATCCATGCTCACAAGAAATCGATATAAGCGTGAAAAACTGCAGTTCCTACATTGTTTATCAACTTCCCCAAGTCAATTGCTGTAACTCTGCTTATTGTTTTGGTAAGTTTAATATCATTTTTGCTACAATTATAAACCAGTAGCATATATATGTACATGTACTAAACCTTCCTGATGAATCTCTAGAACAATTTACTAAAAAGTAAACTCTAATGATTAAATAAGAAGTTTTTTTCTGTTCAGTGTTTCTTCTCACTGAGTGGTAAAGCCTTTTCTCAAGGATTAAGATTTTTAGCATTCTGTCTACAGGAAATGTTCACATGTTGATAATTATGGGTTGTATCTCTAGTATATAGAATGCTTCCAGATGACATTGCACAATTCTTCCAAAGGCAATTCTTTTATTGCTCGAGTTGTGAGAAACTTTTAATTTTAAAAAGAAATTAGTACTGGGCTGGCTTTTATGAATGACTAGTTTTTGACGATTTATACCCATATACGAAAAATGCTGAAGAGAAAAGAGAAAAAAGATCATAAAAAGTAATTGATACGGAATCCTATACATTTTTCATGCTGAACAAAACGCTGATTGAATTTGAAATTACCAATTATTTCCCCATTAGTGGAAGCCTTACCTACAGTATATATACGTTTAAAATTATCCTATGGGTTGTTTTCTTGAGAGATTGTTTTCTATAGAGTCAACTTCACCTTCGGAAAAATTGTTGTAAAGCATTTGAAAAAAACATCTGCTGTAAATACTACTAAATGCATAAATTCGTCGGACGGGGGAACTACAAGGGTTGTCCCGAAAATCGTGGACAAAACGTTTTTCTCGAAAAGTAATGGGCGCACTAAGCTGAAAATGTCAGTAAATGTTTATTTATCAGATTTAATTGCATGATAATTTTTTTGATAAGATATAGGCAAAAATAAAGAATTTATTATGCTTGAATGTGCACGGGGTATTGTCCTAGGGTGCACTGTCAAACAAACCAAAGTTTTATTAAATAATACACAATTTTGAATTCAAAATAAAAGTTTTAAATACATAAGATTTGGATTTAAATTATCCTAATTAAATTTCACAATAAATTTTGTAGTCTTTGTAAAAAATTTAAGACATTTGGTTAATTTTTGGCAGTTTCTCGCGCATTCGAAATGGGAAAGTGGTAAACACAACACACGAAAAATGGCGACGTTTTACATTTGTATGACGAAACGGCGCACCGGAGAACAGTTCACTTTTAATTCGATGTTGTAATGACTTCTTAAGAGACTTGAAATGACCATAGAAGAAAAAAGATTATAAAAATATCACCATATCTTAAGTATACAAATGAAATAGGAGTTTTCTTAGCGAAGTTGTTTTTTGATCGAGTCCCTGGGGAGTACAAAATATACGGACAAAATCCTAATGTAATAGCAAAAGACGCTGTCACAGTAGACTGCCGATATGAGATTTTATATTAGTTGAATGATGGTGAGAATATTGTCCGTAACGTACTAATAAATCTTCAGAAGATCGCATGAGGAAGGCAACTGGTTCATCGGCTGTTTAAGGAGACTAAAGAATGTGAATCAATGAAATTCCTAAATTTAAGTCGGACTCATCCAACTTCATTTTCAGCAAAGATAAAACGTGACGCTGTTTTAAACACTTTGACGTTATAATCCATGTAATGTAAGGTGATACAATACATGTCATAAAACCTCATGATTTGATTATTTATGCATATCTTTATCTGAAATTTGCTGTGTATATTACTAGCTACAATATGTACTAAATAATAGTGAAAATTTCAGAACTCAGTGATGTTTATTTTTCACACTAGACAACTTGTCCACGATTTAATTTACGGGACAACCCTCATACATAGTTAAATTTTATGATGAGACTTGCTTTGCTTAAGGTTCACTATTTAACACACACCCTTTTTCTTCTACTTTGCTGCACAGAATCTGACCAAAAGTGTGAGTACATGATTTGAATTAGATTAAATAACTTTAAAAAAAATATAACCTGAATTGATCTTTAAGAAAGAACGATTCGTATATAAAATAAATATTGGTCATTCAAAAAATGTTTGTTGATGTAAGAATGTATTTACATTAAAATAAATGGAGTGGAGTTAAACTTTTATATAGCTCTATCTTTCGAATACACGTAAATATACATATTACTTGTAGATTCACTGTGTCACATTAATGCTATTGTATTTAGGTACTCTAGATGTTCCAAAGGATCCTTCTGTTTCTTATTATAATCTTTCATGGAATCGCAAGGATTTTGGCAGGGGTTTTAGTAGATATGACCCAAGTGTAAATTTGATATGTAGATTTACGCCCTTAAAGGACGATTCGTTGTTTTACGATATTTCTTGGTATGTAGACGACCTTGAAGTAGTTAAAGGTCAAACTGTTACCTCTCATACACTAGACCATGCCCTGCTGTCTGCTTTCGACATACTAAAGAAAAACAAAACAGCGGGGTCTATGGTAAGAAGAAAAGATACACCTATTTCTGTAACATTTCTCCAGAAGATATTTGTTTTCATCAAATTTGACATATAATAAAAGTCTGCAAATGATACTGATTTTCTTTTGAAGATTCATTGTGTTGTCGGAAGGAAACCAATTGAGGATGGCTCTTCGTGTGCCGCAAAAGCAAGCCCACTATTTTTTGCTGGCATTAAAGTATGTAAATGTCTTACATGTTTAATGAATGCAGTTTGTACCACAATTCTGTTACATTAACTAAAACTCAGAATGAACATTTACAATAAATGATAAATGAGTTCTGGTATGATAAATATGACAAAAGGTCGGTATGGGATGCTCACTTCTCCATGGCACTGGATCCCACCTATGATGTTCTTGTTTGCTCTACTGATGATCTCTTGTTTGTTCTGAGCTTGAATACTGGTTAACACAGTATATTTGACTTAAGTTATCTTCACACTGGCTTATTAAATGATATACCTTTTATAGAATACATTTCGTAGCATGACGTACTCTTGTTCTCTGTGGTAGATAAACAAAAGACTTAAACAGTGTATTACATGTAAGTGTACTCTCCACAATCGGTTGACGGAACTTTTCAAAAACCCATATTCCTTTTCAAGGAAAGTGTTGGTACAACAAAGAATCCTAACTGTTTAACATCTTTAAGTTGCGAATATAACAATTTTTTCAAATGAAAGAAATATGTTTCATACAGATAATTGAAGTTGAAAATAGAAATAAAATAAGTAGAAATACCGGTACGCAAAACTCATACATATAAGATATGTGAATTTTTTTGGGCAGCACAGTTATCCGTATGAAACATATTTCTTTCAACACATCCCTAAATAAGTGAAATCGAAGGCTGTGTAAGTTCTTTTTCCTCCATCTATAACGTCGCCCGCGTGGCACAGTGGTTAGAGCGTCTGCTCTAGAGTCACGAAGTAAGTTGCTTATCCTTAAGTCGCGGGTTCGAATCCCACTGTGGGAAGTGGAGACTGGTCCTACGAATGAGACCCATAAAGCGAGGTCCCGTGTTGCAGTAGGTGCTGGCACGAAAAAGACCTCTCACTGCTCAATGGCCCTAAGTGCTGATTATAGGACTAAATTTATATTACAGTGTATCCATGGTTCATCAGTGTTAGAATCCTAGATTTTGTTGTTATAATTAGTTTTTACTTTCGAACAGCTTAAAAAACAGAAAAGTACCCAATCAGACCTATCGTACTACAAAATATTTTTTGTCTACTCCTTGACTGTAGCGATTTTGTATCAAATGAACTACTTGCAGCCATTTAAGTTCAAAAAGTTAAAAGCTCACTTATCACCGTTTGATACTTCTATATTTACGCAGGTTTTGACTCCCCAACTTTACATTAAGAAAGGAAATAGTGCTGATTTGAAGCTGCAGTTAACTATACCATATGCAGATGAAACTTTCGTGATACCGGCCGGTTATGCCCATAGTGCACAAGAACTGATTGTGATTGTCAATATTTCTACAAATACTTTACTTGAATGTGACAGGGACTATATGGTATATAAGCGTAATGATTTCATGATTTGTGAAATAAGGATTGAAGGATATTCATATCAAGAACGAGGTAATTATGGAACAGACGTTTGGAAACGGATATACAGTATGTCCATACACAATCACAACTACGGAGACGTTGCTTTGTCTGATAGAGTAGTGTCATTGCAATTGAGAACTCGGAGTACCCATGGTTCAGGAAGCAGAATATTCAGCAATATAAAATTACAAGAAATACAGGTAATTCATACATTATCTAGCAACATATTATCTGTTGATCGTTATGCACTGTTGTTAATTATTTTGCTTTTATCTACAATGTAATTCATTTTGGCGTATATATTTTTATAAAATAAAAGCGACAAAATTGAGCAAAATGCATGGAACTCCATTTTCCTACAGACTACTGTAGACGTCTTTAATTTCACGTGTCCTTACACCATGCTTTTAATTTCACGGTGAATCCTGAAAAATATTCAGGTGCTTTGCCTGTTTTTCGCCAGAAATGAAGTGAAATAATTATGGCGGACAATTCTTAAATCGTGAACATAGTGAAATTGAAAACACCATAAAGTATTCTACTTCTACAGTGCCTTAATGACTCTTCGTGATTATGCGTTACGTTTCACAAATTAAGTCTTTTCTGGACATCGTTCATCGTTCAAAGGAGTTGGTCCGTTTTTCTTAAAGCGCCCGCACAGTATTTGCAATTGAAAAGTATATCTTGTCAGTAATATTGTTAACAAGAGTTAATTCGTTGCAGCTTGTTCTACATATGGATTCAGCATTTCTGTTACCCATGAACTAAGCTTTGTTCTCAGATGTTACAATTTTCACCACACACAGCGGATACAACAATTAGAATTGGAAATGAGAGTTCTTTATTTATCTATTCGCTTTGTGTTTGGCACCAGATTGTCTCTTAAACTTGGGATATGTCATGATCTGGTTCCAGGATCACCAAACATACTCAGACCTATAAGTAAAATTTTCAAATGCGAATAAAATGTTTATTAATTATTTAAATAATCCCAAATTGGTAAATATCAACACTTTTGTGAATTTAAAATTGAAAAATATTCTAAATTTTGATCTGCTGTACCTACCCAACATTTTAATATAATATAAAGATTTTGACTGAAGCTTAAGATTTTCATGATCCCGGGGCCAGATTTACAACGTTTCACTTTCAATATATAAAATGTTCTGTAGATTTTCAAAATTTCGATTTGTTTAAATATAAAATGTATTCATATAGGTAAATATCTATAGCGACCAAGCACCTCCTAAACCAACAGTGCCTTCAACAACACTACCAACCTCTGATGACTGTGCAGCAGTTATCTTTGATACAAGTACTCCATCCACTCCGATGATGATGACGAAAAATATGACAACATCCCTGACGTCACAAGCAGCAACAACAAAATCAAAGATAATTTTAAACAAAACAAAATGTAAGAAACGTAAAAGAACGAGATTTTATTTTTGCATAAGGGTCCGTGTACTGAGGAATCTCGTTCTTGTATAAATTTAGAGTTGGCCGTCCTCATCAACAAATGACGTAATCATATAAAAATATTAAGTAACATATTAACATACAAAAACTAAATGTACTGCAGTACTAGTGCTCCTCGTCCTTTAATAGTGATTAAGCGTATATGGAGCAACACTTTGTTATGTATTCCTATCAGGAATTGTGAACTAAATGTGAAAGACACCGAGCAGCGAAAAACATGTGCTAAGGTCGCTTAAAATGATAACAACCAAAATGTAAATGTTGCCTTCAATTAATAATATTTAAGTTTATAGCCACTGATGTATAAAGTTTAAGTATTTATATAGTTAAAAATATTCTTTTTTGGCCTTATCATGATAAATAAGGTTGAAAAGGAAATGAATGCAAAATTAATTCTTCAAATTGAGCCTTCAAATCATCTCTAAAATAAATTCCTAAATAAAAATTTAGCATCGTCCTTTATGGTCGGGTGTTGAAAGGATTTTAAATAACGAAGGAGACCGGCGTTTTTATTACAAGAAGACAATGTATGAGAGAATTCGACTGGAGAAGAGGGAGCACCAAAACATAGTGAGTAGTAATGTCATTTTTGGGTCTTAACAGCTTCCACACTGTTTTTTACCCTTTCATCCAATTTATTTTGAATCCTTTTTAAATTTAAATGTTAACGTTGCAATATTCTATCCTGGTGAAAAAAATGTGAAGTTTTAACAAAAAATATTTAGTTCATACAAGTTTATTGTTTTAAGCAGATTTTGCAAGGGAATAAAAGGTCTTGTTCAAATTAAGGAGGCTGGGGGGTCAGCAAATTAATCACAAATTAACCACCAGATTTAACTTATTTTTTTTGATACGGTAACTTAAGCTGTCTACTATCATTTCACAAAGAAAAAATTCATACATTTTAGTTTTAAAATTTGATCATTTTCTATATCTGCATATGGAGCTCTCCTTTTAAAGGAGATAAAAATAGTCTGAAAATGGCTGCCACACCCCAGCCTCGTTAATTACAAAACTATCGTTGCGTTGTTGTTTTTTTAAACTGCTGTGATTTTGAGTTACTTCTTAAAATTCGGATGGATGATCTCGTATGATTCACTTGAAATTCTATTCTGTTAACGAGTATCTCATTTCAATTTCTATTAATCAGGAAATGGTACTTAGGGTAATTAAAAAAAATAAAGTATTAAAAATAAAAATAAAATATTTTTCAAAATTAATTAAAAAATTGGAAGGTCTTTTTTTTTACAGTGAAAACAGAATATCCTAATTTGAATAGAATAAAAAGGCTTTTTTTATTTGCTGCGTTTTTCTGCAAATCCAACTATATGAAATTACATTGTAGTTTGAATGCCATTCTTATTTCATATGTACACTTAAGCGTAGAAATAAATTTATACATGTACTAGGCTTGGGCTAAAGTGACGTCACAGTCGAGTTTCGAAAACGGTAATGAAACTAAGCGATAAAAGGCAGAGAAAAATTCAATCATTTGATATTATTTTTAATGCTTTTAAAAAAGTTTGATAACATTAAAATAAGTATAGCTCTTTTCAGTTAAGTTTTAATTATTTGTGAGTTAATCACACAGACTTGCGTTTTGGCATATTTTTACAGATGGATGCTAGCTGTCTTACAACTTCAAGGGAATTTCAATCCGTGGGTCCGATTAGGTGTATGAGAAAAGAAATTCAAAATATGTGGAATACTTTTTACATACTCTGTTTTGGATTGAACAGCAGGCATAAATGCCTACGACCATATTTGCTTTTCTTTTATAGAGAGGAAAAAGTGCATGAAATGATTTAAATTGACGCTTGTAGGGAGCATTTTCATTTGTTTATTTTAGCTCATATTACACAGTAAGGAGGAAGTGAAAGGGTTATTTGATCTTCCCGGTCAGCAAATGAGGTAAGGTGTTCTTATTTATGAATTTATTTTTTTTATTTTTCTAATATTTTATTGCTGTACATGTAAATTAATTATTCAACATATTAAGGGGAATATTAACATTAATTTTAATCCCCCCCCCCCCCATTTAGAACTTATGTTGCTATGGGGAAATTTTTTTACGAAAAATACACAAGTGAAATATTAAAGCCCTTTCACCAGTCGTTTAAAAGGTTTTAATTTTATTGAAGTTGGTGAAAATCAAAAGTCAAGTTCAGAATATCATAACTGTTGGTGCCCCAAGGGAAAGCTTTGTTACCAGAAATACAAGAAATCTATTAAAGCCATAGCATCAAGTTTTTAAGGTAATTTTTTTTAAACGTATGTCAAACGCCAATTTCAATTAAAGTGTCAAAATTGTTTTGTTTTTTTTCAAGTCAGGGTTCATTTTTCCTAAGCAATACACATGTGAAAAATGCATGTCGTAGTACTTACTGTTCAAAAGTGATCAAGGTTGAAGTTATATTTAGTGCTTAAAACTCCAGGGTCAATGTCAACAACACTTTACCCAAGAAAGGGTCTCATCACATAAAATACAGATGTGAGATATGAAACTCTGGCGCCTACTGTTCATAACTTATTTTTGAAAAGTGTGTAGAATTCCAAAAACTAGGTCAAGGGGTCAAATTTGTTTGTACCCAAAGAAAGCTAGCCAGCTAGATAGACAGACGGGAGGAGAATTGATAAACCATATATATGCAACCGAGACTTCATTCAAGGGAGCATAAAAACAATTCATTTGTATAAAATATCTAATTTTGAATTTAACAAATGTAAATCTTACCACATGTATGAATTTCATATGGAAAAAGAAGGTCGGAAAGGATGCACTCGTTTGAAATATATTTTTTGTAGATATTGCTGAGAATGAAAATTCCTTTTTTAATTATCCTCACCGTTGTCAAGCTCATTAATGAAAGCTGTAAGTAAATGAAACAGTTCAACAATATTTTACTAAATTCTTTAATTTTTATCGTTTTAAATATCGTACAAGCAATACATCAATTGATGAAGATTATCTAACATAATATTAAGTACGTATCAAGCAAATTTGCATTTTCTTCTAGTTTTAAGCACCATTAGCATAAAAGTCATTTTAAGTCCTATTTAATGGTGAAAAATGAAAGAGTATGTTGGTTTAAAGAATGTTCTTAACTCACTAATTTTACGCGATATTAGCTAACTTGATATAGTCTTTTCAATATCTATAAAGTATTAATAAATATGCAAAAAAAAAAGCCATTCCCTTAATCGTCGAAAATATTTCGTTTTTTTCTAATTATAATTTATATATATATATATATATATATATATATATATATATATATATATATATATATATTATATATATATATATATTCCCTTGATGTTTTTGTGGTCAGAACCCTGGATATCTATTCACCCACCCCCCCCCCCACCCACCCCCCCCCCAAGAAAACCACAGATAGGTTTACGAATACGACTAATCATACGATATTTTGTGAAAAGATGTCTTGAACTTTATGTAAAATTGTCCTCCAACACAATTTTCATTACAACGTCAATGTCTCAAATGTATTTCTCATATGCAATACAACTTCAAAGACCATAATAAGTATATGATAATTTTTAAAAAATCAGACCAGGAGGACCCTTGTACAGAATACAGTGAAATCTTGGATTTACTGAAAAGACGTCCATCCTATAAACAGGATGCCATGCCTCTCTGTGACAATCACCTGACTACTGGGTGGTACAGGGCAGGCAACCTTAAAATGCCGACATCTCCACCTGCCCTAGAATCATGTGGGACTGATTATCCTTACTGGTTGAATGGTAAGAAAAATGGCGAAAATATAATAAGCAAGGTGACTTTCGTGGTTTTTTTTTATTCTTTAAATATGTATGTACATGTAGTGAAAAAAAATGTGTATCTGAATCTCACATTCCTACATGTATTTTTGTATACACATCTATAAGCAACAAAAACCACAAACTTAACATGATAATCTATGTATCAATACTCGTATATATGTTGAACCCCAAAGAGCGATGGGATTCCAAAGTCCGATGATCACGCCTAAGTCCAATGGTCTGCACTAAACCCTGATGGTTTGACACGCGATGGTGCGGAAATCAATTAACTTTATGACGTCATAGTTCTACTGGACAAAATGCACTTCCGCCCAAGCCAAGTTCAGAATGTTTTTAAAAAATACAATTGAATTTTAAATGCAAAGACTTACCCTCATCTTTTGGATAAAGTTGCGAGACTGTAATCATTCGAAAGATGTGCAAGAACTTTAAACTACTGGAAATCTGTTAATTTATCCCGGTGAAATTAAACAGTGCATGCGACATGCGACAGGCGTGGATTTCAACTTTTAAAAATCGAATTTTCTTCACCAATAATTTGGCACCTTTCTCTTTCTCTTTCTCTCTCTCTCTCTTCAGTAAATGCAAAGGAGATTGTAAATACCTCCAAAAACCCCTCTAGATCTGAAACATTATGACTGCTGTTTCTTTCTTTTGTTGTTGAGTTGTGGCGGGAAAATGTTTTGCACATTTTAAAACGCGCTTTATCCTATCCTGCTGGACCAAAAATATCGTTATATCTTTTTATTAAAGACACAACAAATTTATAAATAAGTTTTTTTTATTCCAAAAGGAAATGTATATGATTATAAATCATGTTTAAATATATCTTATATATATGAATATCTCGGTCTTTGCTTTAGTTAATAACCAGCAAGTGTGCTTTATATTCTCCTCACTTCAGTGATTTGATCAGAAAAAAAAATAATCAAATTATTTATTCAATTAACATCAAATTAACGACTGCCTCTTGGCGACCGGTAATTAAAAGTCACTTGTCGAAGTTTTGAAGTAAATTGTAGGGCATATGACTGTTTTGTAGCCATTTATTAATAATAAATGTGCAAAAACAAAGCCACGAATGGGCGCATCATTGAATGTAATGGAGTACCGAACTACTGAAAAATCATTTCTTCAGACAGACAATTGTCTTAAAAAGAATAAAATGCTTCTAGATAATGCTGGGAATAGTCTATAAAGAAGACAAATATATTGAAATGGTACGTAATAGCTTTGTAGAATGGAAGGGCATACAATTTTAATGAGCAACCCCTGATGAGTAAGCGCCGATTCTCAATATGGCATTGGTGTATACAATCAGCAGAAACGAAGAGCAATTTTGCGCTGGTAACTGAAAAGTTTAAATAGAACTTTCAAGCGATGGCTTATCGCTTGTTGCAAAATTTAGAGTGTGTCGGCATAGATTGAAGCTTTAAAGGATTGCTTAAGCCATGACAATGTTCGATGACCTCGAATCATAAAATGATAACAGCAGAAGCACGGGATTTTTTAATGATCATTCAAAGTCAACATTTGGTTATTTATTGAGACGTAATAATGTTCCTATTTGTAAATATAAAAAAAAATGGTGTATATACTCCAGGAGTATAAATTTCTTGGTTGCAAATGATATACATGCTTTCCAAAAAAATGAAGACACAGGCGAATAAAACTGACTCTTTAATTTTAAACAAAATGTACAGAAACTGATAAAATTTAGTATTGTTTCATGTGTCTCTTAATAGGTACTTGCAAAATGCTTTTTTAGGTGACCTTCCACCAACTAATGAGATGGATAATGTTGAAGTTTGCAGGGTTGGAATTTCAAATCCATGTACACAAGTAATAAACATCAGCGTAAAAAATTGCAGTATGTACATTGTTTATCGTTTACCCCCAGTAGATTGCTGCAACTCCGCTTATTGTTTTGGTAAGTTCAATAGCAGCTTTCTTTAAAAAAACATATTTTTTACGAGATGATTGTTTCTTTGACAAAGATTTATAGAAGTCCACGATTTTCTTGTATTTTAGAATCGCCTACGCAGTGTAAGTAATTTTGTTTTAATTTGAAAGATCACAGAAAACTTTGTAAATAAAGCAAATAAATAAGCAAATAAAAAGATGCCTTGTTATGTTATCGTAGTAAATTTCTTTAATTTAAAAGGATTTTTTTTTTGAATTGTTGTTGTTTAAAAACCAAATTGAATGAGTATTTCTAAGATCTGAAATTTCTACAACAGATGAAAAAAAAGAAAGTTTTTTGTCATATATACTGTATATATTTAAGAATATTTTCTTACACCATCTGTGTTATTATTTTTAGGCAAATCAGATACGCCAGTGGATCCTTTTGTAGAAAACTACAACATATCATGGGTTTATGAAACTTCAGGGTTTTTCTCACGATATGACCCTCGTTTAAATTTGATATGTAGATTTACTCCATTAACTGACGAATCATTGTTTTATGACATTTCCTGGTATGTTGACGATATTGAAGTAATAAAAGGTCAAACTGTAAACATCAGTACTAAAATGCCTTGTTGCCAGTCAGTACAATTTTAGCGAATAACAAAACAGCAGGATCAATGGTTTGTATGATAAAATTTCAGTTCTCTTTTTTTCTTTACAAAAGATCTAATCGTAGTGTGTTTTAACCTTTTGACTACTTGTGCTATAAACGATTGATATGTATTTTAGATTCAATGTATCGTGGGAATCAAATCAACTGAAAATGGCTCTTCGTGTGTTCCCAATGCTTGTCAAACGTTTTATGCTGGAATTAAGGTCAGATGACGTTTTGATTTAATTTATGAAAAAAAATTTTTTTCATAAAACTCTCAATATGAATTAAATACATATGTAGTAAAAATTAAGCGAAACGTTGATTAATTTAAATATTTTGCTTGATTATCTCCCGAATGCAAAGTACCGTGACCAATGAGCTACCGCAAATAGTTCTGAAGTAAGCTCTGCTTATATAAATCAACTTCTGAGTACTTCTAAGTACAATCAGACTGTTTTAACAATGTAACTTTTCAAATGACAGTTGACAAATAAGTAAATTTACGAGCTCCAGATTTATTAAAAAAAGCAGTTATAAATTATGTTAGAAAGCTTGAATTTTCAATATATAACATTGGACGTTTTTTTTTTATGGTGTTTTGGTAAAATTCTGTGATTTAAATGTTTCATAAGTTTCTTTGTAGCCATATCTGATTTACATTTTTCCTTCTTTATATTGTTGCAACGTAAATCTGAGGTTCCTCCGTCACTACTGCTGATAGTGAAAGAGGCTTCAGTCGGTGGAATATTTACTAGAACCCGCTATGTATCTTTGTTTGAAAGGATTTATTTGAAGTTTCGAAATCAGGACAAGCCTAAAATATGATGTTTAGTTCTCGAAGTTATGGCCATTTGGAAATTTCAATAAGATTATGCCCTTATAATGTATGAGTTAAGCCAAATATGATTATACATATACATGATTGTTGTTAAACTTGCATATGTTTGCTTTCTAGGTCTTAATTAACTCCACAACTTTTTTACAGACATAGGCAGAAAGGCTGACATTCTCCTGCAATTAACAGTACCTTACGCGGCTGAAAATGTCGTGATTAATGGTCAAGATTTTGAACCGGATGATCTCAATGTGATTGTTTATAATCCCAATAATTCTTCACTTTATTGCGAAAATAGCGCTTTACAAGACGATTTGATTTACAGACGCTGTGCAATTAGGATAAAAGGCTATTCTCATAAAGACACAGCTAAATATGAAACCAGTATTTGGAAACAGGTTTACAGAATGACAATTTCTGAACAAATGCAAAGCAATGCATTTAGAAATTTGACCATGTTAGAAAGAGGCATTTCACTACAGTTGAAGACCATGACAACTACAGGCGAAGGAAGTAAAATATTCAGCAATATAAAGCTACAAGAAATTCTAGTAAGTAAGAATTTCATGAACTCCCTTTACAGGTATCATTGTCAATCGATACTTACATTTTTTTCCCTTGTCACAATTAATTTTTCTTAGGATGTATTTTGTTTTGGAGAATAACATTTCAAAGGGAATTCTTATGTATGCAAGTCATATTATCAGTTGATTGTTACATGGTCACTTAATGTGTCAGTATCTAGTGGCATGGAATATTTTTCTGATAACATGTATACAACATTAGAATTAAAGACTTCCATGAATAAATATTCATGAAGTAAATTTTTAAAAAATTAAAAAGATTTATTATTTTTTATCATTAGATTTATCTCTTGCTTTTAAATACAGTTCGTTATTATTAATAATAGAAATGAAAAATCATTTGACCGTTGTTGCAATGTGTATTTTGTTTAATACGGTAATTTAATTTTGATTCTAAGGATATATTAAAATGAAAATTCTCGCAATTTATATTAGATAAAAATTCATTGATCGTGAAATGAGATATTGGAAAGCAGATAAAATGCATTGAATATGGGAAACGATAATTTTTAAAATTGGATATTCATAACATAAACATACACTCGATTATGCCTTCTTGAAAGGGGATACAATGATTAGATATTATTATGCTTCCTGTCAGTTTGTCTCTATATAACCCATACCCTACTATTCTCGCATAGTGGTCTAAGGATTTATATAGCGTAAGCATACTATGCCGAAATAGTGCACGGCTTTATTTACTGAATAAAATTCTTCCATGCACACGCCGGGTATCGAACTGACGACCATGAGATTGTCAGTTTGATGCCTTATCGATTATGCCACAGAGACGATCACTGATTGGTAGAATTTTATTAAATATATAAACTTAATTTATACAATTGACACAAGAAGGAGAAAATAGACAAATATTATTTGAAAACAGTTATATTATTCTAAGGAACTTTAGATTAATGTGTACAACAAACTTTCAAACTAATTGCATACAGATCGTTAGATGAACTGATTTCATAGGGTCATTAAAACGCTTTTTTATATGACGCTTGATTGAAGGATGTAAAAGAAAATTATCAAGGAGAATCGACGTCTGCAAACAAATAAGGCTTACATGTACTAACAAAACAGAAAATAAAGATGAGTTGCTTTGGGACAGAAAATCCCGACTTATTTAGAGAAAATACTAGTAACCAAAATAAATAAGCATGCAAACAATTTTAGCATGAAGATTTTGAATGAGTTCTTGCAAGTGCGCTGCATGTGTAAGCACCGATATTTTCAGGAAAAAGTCAAACAGATTGCCGCATAAATAATTACAACAGTCAGCATAATAATAACAATAGTGTTGCATTATGCATGTACTATGCCTAAATAGTAGGCAGGGTTTGACACATAGTGCACTCGCCTCCGGCTCGTGCACCATGTGTCAAACCCTGCCTACTATTTAGGCATAGTACATGCATAATGCAACACTATTATATAAATAGAATTCACAAATCAGACTTGTAAACTATAAGCAAGTGAAACGAGTTTTAACTGAACATAATTAGTATACCTATTGTGACTCTTGATCATCCGTTTATATCTTCACAAATTAATTCCAAGGAAAGCTTACATGGCGCAGTATTGCACTCGATTTTTTTCTTTATTCGAAAATTTCTATATGCCATACCCCTGCATGGATGATATGAAAAACCGGTAATATCTTATGATGTAATATGCATTAATATTTTAGAATATGACTATTGCTTTTCCGAATGATATATATTAAAGGATGGATTGCTTTCATTCTCGTTATTCAAAATTCAGATGTGCATTTTATTATTAAACATATTATAAATAGTTACACTGAAAAGGATGATAAAACATTTGTATCAAATGTAGTACAAAGAACTATATGCGGTATATTGTATATATTTGCCCCCACAACAGTCAAATTTTGAAAAGTTCCTGAAATGTGCTGAATTCAATAAATTAAATGAGAAATATAAATTAACAGAAAATATTATAATTTCAAAGCAGTGTATTCACAATTTTTGTTTTTATGCCGTCACAAACTAGTCCGATTTTATATCCTTTTTCAGAAAGAGGACAAAATGGACAAAATTTTAACAATTTTAGCTCTAAAATTTATAGAGCGCAAGTTTTTCAGGAACAATATTGACATATTTCATTGATATTATAATTCTACACATTATATCAAAATATTGATCCTGAACACACATGCGCTCGGTGACTTTTACTCAAAATATCGACGAAATATGTATATTTGTCTGTAAAATTCATACAAAACTGAAATTTACGTCATCTTTGTGACGTCATTACGTACATATGGCGTCATAACTATTGAAAATATTCAGTGCTTTGAAGTCAGCATATACTCCTCTGTTTAAGAACTTAATTAGATATATCTCCATCAAAGTTTGATTTGGAGGGCAAATATTGGTTATTACCGAATAAAGTTCTTTAGAATCGCAGCACAGTTAAGGTTACAAATGGAAATATTGGAGATTTTTTACAGATAAAAATACATACTTAATTAGGATGGGCGATCTTTTTAGGACTTCACTGATATCAAATAAATGTAATGTGGTTTAAATCTACATGTTTGGGAAATTTAGATTTTTTATTTAGACTTGTCACGTGATGTCGACGTCACATGATTTTAGCTATTATACTTGCATTTAAGAGGTCATTTATAAATTCCAATATTGCAGGGGCATAACCAAGTTCAAAATCTCAGTTCAATATATAATCCTTTTCAACACTATATGTAGTTTGTGAAAAGTGCTGCGAACCTATATAGATTCCCTTTTTTAATTGATAAAATTTAATTTGTTGGACGGCAGGTTGAATATTTTGCTGGTCAACTACATTAAATACAGCTATGATTAATTCATTTGCAAAATTTCATGAGGTTTGCAGCACTTTTCAAATATCTTAATGCTTCTTGAGTTTATGTGTAAAAACTTGACAAGATACATTGAGGGTATGCCCTTGCAATAAATCGATTTATTAGGGCCCTTTAATTACGTTTTCAATGAATCTGCATAAAAACACACGACAGTATCACTTCTCTGGAGAATGTACGGACAGTTTATAAATAAAATATTAAACTAAACATCGTATCCAAGTTAACAGCCTTTTATTTAACTGCAAATGATATTTTATTTGAGAACAAAAGACATTTTTCATTGCACAAAATGTGACTTGATCAGCCTCTCACTGTGTACAAACTGCATCATTTTTTGCGAGATGACGTCACATTGACAAGTGCATTGCGATCGATGCATCGCTTATATACTGTTGTGTGGGATATAACAAAAGGCAAAATTGCATGTAATAGTAAGTTTGTATGCAGTAAACAGTTATCCAGCTGTTCAAAATAGCAAATAATTTCATTTTGAGGTATTTTGAAGACCTTATATTATATGTGACGTCATAGTAAACATTTCCCGTACAAATTAGGCCCCGCCTTCTTACTGTAACCTTAACTGTGCTGCAATGCTTTTCACAGGTACACAGCAATCGAACATCGTTAATACAGTCAATGTCTACAATATCAATACCAATCCAAGATTGTGCAACAAAGTCAACTACTTACACATTTCCAAAAACAACAATAATGACATCACAACTTAATGATTCAATGACAATGACAAATATGGTATCAGCAACAAAAATAACAACGGTAACCATGACGTCAACACCAACAAAAACGGCAACTCAAACATCAGCAACAAATTTGCTTACAACGCCAACTATGACATCATCAAAAAATGAATCAGTGAAAACAACAACACAATCACCAATGAATGCAACCATAACAGACTGTAAGCAAAATACACTCACTAAGGTGATTGTGTCCTTTCTAAATCTATTGCTTTGTTAGTTAGCCGGGGCACTTGACTTGTGATTCAGGCGTCCCAGGTTCAATAACCCATTCAACCCCACATTTTCTCCTTTCTTCTTTTGTTTCCATTGATCACCATTCGACGTAAACGTCCTTCCAAGGGCAAATAAGAACTGAATCTTGAGGGCAAAGAGTTTTAGAAGAGATATATAAAGAAAAAACTGAACTGGTATAAGTTAATAATGGCTTTGAGTCTCGGTCAACCATTAAATAACAATGTCCGATTTATCAAAATAACCTCATCAAAAGTAATTATTGAATAATTGAATCGTGTTGTAAATGAGGATTTTCGCCACCTTTCAATATCAACTTTGAAGTACTTATGAAAGATTCCCTTTAATGTTTTAGTAGAGGGTCATGATATAACGAAATATGAAAATCTCCGAGCTCAATTTCTTAATACATTGTTTATGTAGTCTTTCAAATTCTTTTACGACTTCTGATTTAGTGAAAACTAAGAGATTTATAAATTTGCATATTGTCTTTTAGTTAAGTTTTCTTATGTGATTTTAATATATATGTATTTCTTAAACACTGAATCGAATCTGACATTGGTTTTAAAACGGAATACTTTTAGGTCTTGGAATCAACAGAAACAACAGTGAAGTCTTAAATTCAAAAGAAAATTGTGACCTACTGGTTACCTCAACATCTGAGCAGTTTACAGTCCCAGGATATGTATTTATAGTTGTTGTCTCAGTTTTGGTGGCAGCTATCATTATTGTTCTTTTGATTTGGCGATGGCGTTTGTGAGTGATAATTACTATATTCATCTTAAAAAGGATAATTATAAGCATGATATTATTAACAATCAACTGAAAAAACTTTTAAAATATTGATTATTTCTTTTATTTATGTCCTTTAAAGAAGACCCAGCAAGTACAAGAAGTCAGAAACCAGAAATGGCAATCCGGATGTATCCTGCAATAAAAATCACACTGCGGCAGAAAGCTCTGAGGGAAAACACATAGGTGGTGTATATGAAAACAGTGAACAAACTACCTACGAAAATGAATATGCTTATAAAAATATTACCGAATTAGAGGAAAGTATACCAAAAAACAAATCACACATGAATGAGAATTTTTACCAAAAACTGGGTGAAGACGAAACTCGTTTTTACGAACAGTTGGGAGAAAATAAACCTGTACAAACACCTTGAAGAAAACGAAACACATTTATGTGAGCAATTGGCTAAAAACAAACAGAGTGGTTAGAAAATATGTCCATTTCAATATTTTTTATGTGTTAATTTGAATCCATAAGTATATTTGCTTAAGAACCAATGATTCTTGAAAAATCATAACGTTTTACAGGAATTTATTACTATGATTAGCTAAATTGTGTATTCTACATCTCATTAAGTTACATTTCCTTGACAAAGTTCTGTTTTTACACACACACACACACCCTCACACACCCTCTCATATTCATCACACACACACACACCCTCACACACACACACACACACACACACACACACACACACACATATATATATATATATATATATATATATATATATATATATATATATATATATATATATATATATATATATATATATTTAATAAAATAGTTTACGATTGAAAATATCAACAGTTGTTTAAAGTTAGCTTCCTGATATGATACTATTAATTAATAATAATTTTCTCTTTTTTTCAAAATAGAAATATACATTGTAAGTGAAAGGCCTTCCAAGTGAGAATAGAAAATCGTGAAAGATCAAACACGTGAAATTAAAAACCCTTATAATGCCTTATAGATTATTGTTTAAACATAATTATAAAACACACAGCAATCCATCGTAAAATATATTTTTTTCTGCTTTTTCGACGTAAGGACGTCTAGGAAATATACTTTGTTTGGAAACATTATTGTACTTATCCATATAAAATAAATTCATTAAGCCAAACTAGTTGTTATAAAATTTATCCTTTTTTTTTGTATTTCTCAGTCAATTATTCAATTTTTTATGTACTGTAAAATTTATTCCTCGTCTAACTTTGAAGATATTTTTAGACTGCATTTCTATGTACTTTTAATCCTGTCGTCAGTGTGGCGCAATGGTAAGAGCGACTGCTCTAGATTCACGGAGTAATGTTGATCCTTACATTGTGAGTTGAATCCCACTGTGGGCATGGAAACCAGTCCCTCGGATGAGACCGTATAAACCAAGGTCCTGTTTCGCAGAAGGTACTACATTGTAACATGGAAAAGATCCCTTACCGCTCAATAGAGAAACACCGACATCTTACGAACAAACGTAACCAAAAACGGGGATCAGTCATTGTAGTCTATTGTTTTCACGGTTGGATTATTTATTTCTTCAATTTTACAGGGATTTCGATAGAAAAAAATCCCCACAAGATACCTCAAATCCACGCCTTATCGTAGTCGCTACCGTGACGCTACAATACATTTTAATGGACATTTAAACGAGCAAAGGGGTTCGAGAAGGGAAATGAAAGGAAAATTAAAAAAAATGTCATTCTGTGGCATGAAATAAAAAATAATAGTATGTGCGGATCTAGAAGGGGTCAAAGGGGGCGGGGGTTACTTTACGAAGGGCGGTCGGGACAATAAGAATTTACGGTCTGAAATTGAATTGCAAATACCCAAAAACTTTAAATAAATTCTTGTTCAAAATACTATACGCTGCGAAAATTAAAATTAATTTGGTTTAATATACAGGTATTATAGCCATATTATAAATCCATGGGGATGCCTGTTCGCAATTTTTCGGTTGGTAAAGCTTCTTCTTACAAACATGTATTATAAAATCTTCATATAATTCTCACGGTTGCTAGTGGACTGGACCCCCCCCCCCTCCCTTAACATCCCAGACCCAAAGCTATTTTCTAATTTCACTGTTAAAGCTTCTCGAGATATTGCTCGAAACAAAAGTGTAACAGACGGACAAAATTATAAGACGAACGTGCAGACCGAAATTAATATCTCCAACTTTCCGGGGGTCGGCTCAAAAATGGAAGTTTAGTGAATTGTGTTTTTGACATAATTTAAGATATATGAGAGCAAGTTCCTAATATCATGTCATCGTAGCACCTATGCCCCCCTCCCTCCCCCAGCACCTGGAATATATATAAATCGGAGTCCAAAGATATTTTTTTGGCTTTCTTTCATTTATAACATTTACAATTTACAACATACAAAATTGATACCTGCAGTTAAAAAGTCAGAGGTGATTTAAGACACCACAGGTATGATTGTTTTTAAAATAAAATGCAATTTCTACGTACTTTTTGGATTTTTCATATGAAATACATTGTGAATATGCACTAGACGGTTAATTTATGACAGAAGACAAATACGATTTCTTGGGACCCGGTATGTATATTTGGGATGGGGTGGGGAAGTTGTTTGGTCTACAAGCACTTGTGATAAGCATATGTGTGCACATAATTTTGAAGGATGCCATGACAACTAGGTGACAACTACGTTTTCATATTATTCACACTTTTAAAAGTCCGTATATATTATTGTCGGTATTCTGGAATCAATCTTTTTTTTTTGTTTTACAACAGGATGGTGAATATATATTTTTCCTTACAAATGAAGCAAGTTATAATTTCGGTTATAGTTTTTATTTGTATATTTGACCTTCGGTCAGAATAATTCTGTGTGTGGTCAAAAGTAAAAAGTGTATCTTCTAATTTTATATTTTGACGAATAATGCATGGTTAGCAAACAATGACATAGTGGAGCATAACTTTTGAAGACAAAGAAAAGAACTTTACTAAGAAAAATACACCTCCTCCATAAATGCATATTTTCAGCCTTTTTTTATAATCCACACATATAAACAGATATACATGTACACACGGTCGTATATAGGAACGGGGTTGAGGGGTTTGGGATACCCCCCCCCCCCTAAGGAAGTCGATAAATAAACAATGTAATACCGGTATTATAGAACACTTAGCTACTGTATACTTGTGCCCCTTCAATAAAAAAAATCTTTCATTTTGGCTTCCCAAGATATTGTTTGGTAGTGACTCTAAACTTTTGGTTGTCCCCACTCCCCAACTAAATTTTCTTGCTTCAGGCCTGTTACATATATATAAAAAAAAAAAGCAGCCCAAGATCATTTAGTTAAGATCGCCATTTAATACATAAGAAGATTATGTCTACCATGAAGGCTCGTTTATTTCTATGAAGTGATATTTTAATAATTTTTAAAAAGAATATATCTCTCCTCCCCCCCCCTCTCTCTTTCAATACAAGACACTTTATAAAGCGCACAACCTATTTACTTGATTGCACGGATTTATTTTTTTTTTCATGCTGTAAAAAGTATCCTTTCCCCATATGAACAAGGCGCACACTATTTGTATACGTTTAATCACTGACGCATGACAAACGTGTTTCCTAATCTGTCTAAAGTATTATGGTGTATTTTCTTCTATTTGTTCCCTTTCTAAAACATTGTAAGTGATTACAAAAAAATTTACATGAGCAATTTTCAAATACAAAGTGGTTAAAACACTATCCGTTCTATTTTACACATATACTTATTTTTTCCGATTTTAAACTTTATATGGGTACAATTACTGGTCCCGAGAAAACTATTGAGATACGGGAAGTTAGGGAGAGTTACGTTCGTTCGTAAGATGTCCGTGTTTCTCTATTGGCCATGAGTGCTTAGTATGGTTAAAAAAGAATTATAGCCATTCCACTGGCAAGTAGTGGTGCTTCTGTATGAGTGAAAAAAAGACTCGAGAGGGACGTCAAAATAACAACCAACAAAAACTACTTATTCTGCAATTTCATCCTCTTCACAACACTTAATTTAAAATTCTAATATTCCGTCATTGATTTTAAGAATAGTCATGTTAACAGTATTACACTGTACACTGAAAAAATCTATTGATAGGATAGTTTTATGCAATTAGAGTGATCTTTCCTTAGAAGCAAGATAGAAAAATGGTTAGTAACAGTTATTTTCACAATTTGATATCAATTATTCTAAGCAGTAAAGAAAACCAAAAACAGACGTTTTTCATACTAATTGTTAGTCCATTATTTATACACTAAATTAACGACATATTTTTCCGTTATTTTCCGATCATGACAAGGAGCACACGGCAGGTGTGACCAGTCAGCGTGGATGCTCACTCCTTCATGGCCTCCATAGTACCTGATCCCACCTCTGATGTTTCGGAGGTCCGCGTTTGCTCTGCTCCTATTTTGTATTGTTTTATGGACATTGATATTGAATGTACTGTTCTCTATCTCCATATCCTTTATGAGTTTTAGACAGTTTTTGATATATATATATATATAACAACCACGCACTTCCTTAATCATCACTTTCTTCAGCAATATTACAAACCGTGCAGCAAACATCTCTACTCCAGTAATGATGACAATAAATGACATTACATCCTTAAAAATAGGGGCAAAACAGAAAAAAAATAACGATAGTTTTAAACAAAACTAAGAAACGTAAAAGATTATAATAGGATTTATTTTTGCAGCATGGCGCATATACTGCATAAAACCTTTCATCAAAAGTGATGCTAGAGTAAATTGTAAAATTATTGGGGAAAAAACATCGTGCAGAGAGGATTTGTTATAGCCCTAATAGGAGGCTAATAACGTACATGCAGTATGAGGTCAATGAATACTGTAGTGATATAAAAAAGGATTTTGTAAACGTAAAACGTATGGGTCTCAAATGTTCAATTTGATTGAATGTGTTTGTACAATTTAATACAATGGAATCAATTTTCCAAGAAAATATTGATCTAACAAATTGTATTCTTAAGGGAAATAATCTACATTCATATTGTAACATGATTTTTAGGTGAAAGAAAACGACATCGATGGCATAGATAACTGAAGAAATTACACGTACCGCTGTATAGATTGATTCACCCAGAGCAATTCATGCATGTACGTCTTATCCAATATTCGAAATATGAAGTTAAATATGCAAAATAGTTAGGTATTTGAAAACTGGAATTTTAACCCCAAAGCAATAATTTAATGCAATTTTGACGTTAACTAACCAGCCTCTGACTGGCCCCAACGGTCAATGAATGTGAGAGATGAGTGATATATAATTATACTATATACAGGGAAATCCCTCCTCCTCCCATTTTATTTCGCACAATTCACCCTTGTCACATTTTGGCGTATTAAAAACGGGTCGAAATCAAAGAACACTGTATTATTGTCTTTAACAGAACTGTGATTGGACGAGGTTAAAACTTGATTAAATTGTAAGCAAGTGTGAAAAGTTGAAATTAAAGGGGAGGAAATAAGCACCTCCTTCAAATTTACCTGTTCTTGGAACCTCTGTCAATCATCTGAAATTAAGCCTGGGATTGGATACTTTGATTTGATTGACATTAATCTCTTTCTGCCGTTGTGTAATCTTGTGTACCTTGTCCGCAGATTGTACCGACCATCCAATTAGCATTCAGGCTTTTGATGCCTACCGCATAGGCCAACATGATAAAAAAAAAAGCAGTCGAAGCGTTCTTTTTTAATTTATAAGAATATGCCTTTAATATATTCAATCTATCAAATAATTAAAAATAATAAGAAGAAAAATCATGCATATATATTATAATTTTAATATTAAAAGGGGGACATCATTTCACGATTACAATCGATAATTTTAATTTCAGTGCCAAAACATGAGTTAACGTACATTTATTCCTCCTTAATTAACACAATATCCGGACCCGCGCTTGAAGCTAGTATCATGGAACTGAATAAAATTGTTTTTTTAAAACAAGTATGACAACATTTAACATTGCTCAGGAGACAAGTGAAAAATTATATTTATTTAATTATAAGATAAACCTGTACGTGTCGCTTTTCTTCTAGAAAGAACCCGGATTATAACATAATGCTTTGCATTTGATATTTGAAATTATGAATCCTGAAAGAAAAAGGTATGATGCAGTTGATATTAGATTCCAGTTTCAACCATAGCTGTCGGCGAATCACCCCCGTCCGAACCCCTGGCCTGGCTATTTTACAGACCATGCATTATGGAAAAATCAAGTAGGGTTTACCTTAAAAAATATTAACACTGTATTTAGACTATTATTTTCTATTTCAGCAGTTTGTTTTCAAATCATTGTTTCTAAGTTTAATTGTCATTTACCGAGAGAATAATTTATGATCAACTTTCTTCTTGCGTACACAATGTATAATTTGAATTACTTCCCTTTTTGTCGCCAGATTACAACGACAAATTTTGGTACTAAATGTATATTTTCGATACAACATACATGTATGATTAAAAAACACCACAGTATACTAAAATTGTCAAGTTATTAAAAATACAAGTTTTAAAAGAACGAATTTGAGAAGGATTCAAGCTGTCCGCAATAAAAATATGTTTAATTTCATGCATTTCAATTCATGAGCTAACATGAAAAAACGACTTCGTTTTACAATATTGTAGGAAAACGCATACAGGTAATACACTCAGGTAACACCCTATGTATATAGGTAGTATACACAAGCCAATGTCGTTCCCTCGGGGCTTCTCAGCCGCTTCGATTAAGCTCCATCCCATACCAAACTTACCTGAGGAAAACCGACCGGTTGAAAACCTCGGCCCTTTACATGGAGCGAAAATTACACTTTATTTAGTATTTATTTTTTTCTTTATATTACTTTTTTCGCATTTAAAGAAGAACAGCGGACAAAGATTGCATTAAATTTGGACAATTTAATGCATATATAACTATTATTAAAGAAAAATTTTTCAAAAAAAAAAAAATATATATATATATAATTATAAGGAAAACACATTCACACGTAAATAAACAGGATATTGAGGTACACACTAGTGAATAACAAAATTTTAATTAGAATCATTGACAATATATTAAAATACGTGATTTTAACAGAATTATGCAAATTCGATCTTTCTGATTAATATTTCATTAATGAACTTTGAAATGCTGAAGCTTTTGTCTTATTTTTCGTTTACATGATATAGTGAACAATATCAGTTATATAGGGGAAAAAGCACACTGAACACTGAAGTATTTTAACAGGAAGTCTTATTCAGTATACGTCACACTGTTCAATTAAATATGTGGTTTTACTTACATGTAAATGTTGAAAATACTGGTGAAGATGACACTTTTAACTTAAATCAACTATATGAAGCTTCCCTTAAAAATACAAGGTAAAAGTTATTTTGATACTGATATGCTAAAATTTAGAAAAGTTGTATCTTTGTTAGGCAGAGCATAAAAAATATGACATAGAACATTTGTAACACAGCAATTTTAAACATGTCAATATGAATTTGTAGTTCACAGAAATTAATGTACAATGTGTTACAGATAAAGTAGTTGACGAAAATGATTAATTAGCAATGTATTTCAGATGAAGTTTGTATATGTGATGCTGATGAATACTATTATTGTCTGTTCTCCGTGGTTTGATGTTTTTTCTGGTAACGATTTACACAACTTATCTTATGTTATGTCAAAGTTCAGTACAATTTTTAAAAGATGTATTTTTCTTTTTAACTTGGCAATTGTATGAGACTTTAATTTTTTCTTATGATATATGATATGAGATTTCTTAAAAGCATTTTGACAAATTTGTTGTTCACAAGTCAAACCTTAAAAATAAATTTTGATTTTCCTTTGTCTTATTATTTTGAAATTTGAACCTTTAAACTAAATAAACTAAAATTTTCCTAAGATATACATTTTTTCTAGATGGACAAAGTCTTTACCACTGCATTTCAGAAAGTGAGTTTTTATTTTTGTTTTTCCTTTTCTGAGTTTTGGTAAGCTATTTTCATCAATTCCTTTTTCAGGAAGTTTACAATTCAAGATCAACCACCGTCTACAAAAACAGGGAAATATAACTTATATTGGTTAGAAATATATTCGAGGATTGAAATCTACGGGTTTAAGAACAAATTGTTCACGTGCATAAATGATTGTCATGATTAATATATGTATATGCAATATTTTTAGATACATCGTTTTGTTCTGAAAAATGGTTGCACGTTTAAAATTCGAATCTGGTTCTTTTCTTTTCTATGTTATTTGATTTGTTTTGAGAAAATAAATTAAAGTCTTTCTTTTCATGAATGTCCAAATCCCAAGTAATAGACCATATTAAAACTATATCTTATTTACAAATTTTCTTTGAGGCAATAAGGAGCACATACATTTGTCGACACATTTTAAAACAATGTTACTTTTCAAAGATTTAACAACACATTTCCTAAAGCAGGGAGCATAGGTCTGTTTTATTACGGACAATTATCTCTGGAATACGTCATTTGGCGACTTTAGTTAGAAAGAAGAAAATACAGTTTGGGCATTATTGTGCCTTAAAAATTTAGTGTTCTTAAAAAGTTATAAAATTGGCTTTAACAAGAGTTGAGCAATTGAATATGATAGATTATTAAAGAATATGGCATGAAGGAGGACCGTTCTGAAATATGACGTCATTAATTTGGTACAATTCTAAGTTTAATGCAGAAAAGCCTCAGAATCACCCATTTTTGTGTTTATTTTCCTTAAGAAAATAGTGTCTGCCACCGTCGCCCACTTTAGTTTTTGGATATATTATGCAAACTGCTTTGAAAAATTACATATATCAAAATTTTTCTTGACGACGGTGGCAGAGTATGTTTTCTGAAAGGAAATATCACTTAAAATTGATGTTTTCTGCAACTTTTTAAGAAAATACGGGAAAATGCACAGATAATGACGTCACAATAAGCATTTAGGAAGTCGTATGAGAAAAACAATTTATGTATTCTTACTGCATGGTATTCCTATGAATCAGAAATAATGAATTTTAATTTCTCATATCACTTTCATATTTTAGAAAAATACAGGGGTTAATTAGTATTGAAATTGTACCTTGTTCCTAACAAATGATGTCATGTTATTGAGGATGGTCTCTCTTTTCTTCATACCGCATTGGTTCATGACTTAACTGTTTGTATATTTACTCTTCGACAATACAAACGTATATGAGGTACAGGAAGATATTTACATATAAAGAAAATACGAAGTCAAGTAAAAAAGAGTAGTGTCAAATAAGAAAATAATTACTGAAAGCAGGCCAATATCTTTTGAGCAAACAAAGAAAGCTTTCACAGGGAGTCAACATTTGTGATGGACATAATTTTCTCAAACTTATAAGTATTAACATGAGAGCAATACTTCTTATCAATAAGTTTTATACGTAAAACCGAAAAATATGGACACTCACTCAGAATGTTATAATATTTAATACATTTTCCAAACGTAAAAAAACTATATATTTTAGAGCGTAATATAGCTATTACTGTACTTCTTTAACTTCTTTTTATTTTCGTTTTAGAAGCTTGTGAAAATGCAACTGCAGCCACTCTATTTGAGCCCAAACATAGAGCAGTAAATTGTCGATACAATGGATCCGAAAATTACTGTGATCGCTATATCACCCCCGGATGGTACCGATTTAACTTTGACATGGTCACATATCCCCCCGCCTTAGGAAGCTGTGGAACTCTGTATCCATATTGGTTAAACGGTATTGTATAAATTCATACCAAAGAAAATCTCATCTAACTGTCAGTTACCGATTTGATTTTCTGGAATATTTTGATTTATTCCGAATTTATTATTGTAACTGTATATTTGTTGATCGTATCTTCAGATAGTAAGATATTTCATTTCTCTGATCAAACTAATGAGCTCACTATGATATGCCCGCTCAACAGGAATTGTTACTTCTCCTAGGTACCTGATACCACCTCTAGGGTTTCAAGGATCTGTATTTTGCTCTGTTCATTGCTCTTTCTGTCTAGATTTATTACAACTGTCAAGTAAGCTTGGACTTTCAGTAAGGCGTGGCATTCTTGGTGCAACGTCTGTTAAATGGCAAATAGATTGCTTCAGAAATTAATAATATAAAAAACTTTAAATTGTTGCTGAAAATGATGAGATGAATGAAGACCCGTCACTGTGTCGTGAGAGAACTTTTAATTGGCTACACTATTTGACATTCAGCCGAATTTTTTTATCTTAAGCATATTTCAAAAGTGAAGTAAATCTGGCAAATTTCAGGAGCTAATAATGTTACGTCGAGAATGCAACGCCTTACTAAAAGTCCAAGCTTAAGGTGTTTCCACTCTCACACTTTTATAGGTTCAAAGTACAAAAACTGCATTTATTTTCATTTATTATAATTTAAATTTTCCAATTATTGCAAAAAATGTACAGGTCACCATATTATTTAAGATGCGAGACATAAATAAACAGAAGTGTATGTCAACATAAAAAAATCACATTTTTTGTAAACAGTATTATGAAAAATATGTAAAAACTGGTTAAAATGCATAATTCTGATGCTGAATGTTCCTACATACTTCCTACTTAAAAGATACTTTTGAATTGTGACTATCAGGGAAACTATTTTACAATAAAGTAAATGCCTGAATGAAGAGACCTGAGAAGGAGTTATTGCCCTTGTCAACATTTTTTAAAGATTGAATAATTGATTAAATATAGCAAATATGCATTTTTTAAATTCTTTAACTTAACAATATTTATCATTACACCAATTGTAAAGCATTCTTCCAAGAGATATTGTTCTATTAGGTATGAATTTAAACTAATTACAGTTTTTGCAAAAATCTATGACATCATAGGAGGGTGGAATTACCTTAAATTGTCCTAGGTCAATGAACATTATAAGTTATCTGTACTTTTGTCGATATGAAGACAGTCCTTTTTTATAGATTTTAATACTGTCAAAAATGTTTAATATGTCTTTGATGCATTTACCTTAGTTTGTTTGTTTTCCTTTGCCAAAAGGGCTAGAATAAATTGAAATATGAAGCTTAGATGTAAAAATCTTGATCAAAACTCATTTCAATCAATACAAACTGGACGAACAGAAAACTGGGGTGCGTAAGAACATTTCCTACATAAGGAATATTCCGTTTTGTATTAGTATAAATGACCTAAACGTTTGTATACAAATGTCATTCTATAAATTACTAAGACACAGATTACATCAGTTAATAAAAGCAATGCAGCAGCTAAAGAATATTCAAAACGTTGAGTTGAAAGTACATTGTACAGACGCACTCGTGTTCCTCATGTGTAAAATTGGTCTTTTGGAAGATGAAATATTATGGGGTTTTTTTTTTACGAATTAAAGATATCTCATTTTTATTTTCTTTTTATATTTCTAAAGGTAATATTATTTTCCAGCCATTTATTGTTTGACAATCAAAAGAAGCTAAAAGAGGTGGATATGATACTACCAGCCCACATTATGTGAATCTCTGTTATACTTTAAACTCCCCTACCTCTACGAATTACAAAAATGTTTCCCAATAAATGTTTTCATATGTAATACTAGTTTGAATGTAGAAATGATATTGCTCGGATATGACAATATAGCAATAAATGTTTTAAGCATAAAAAATCTTCAAATCTGTCAACGACCTTTATTAACATGTATTTCTACAAATGTTAATTTTCAGTGTTTAATTTCCATCTAAAGTTCTTATAAATGTAAATAAACGAGTAAAATCTTAATTTTTAAAGCATATCTTCTTTCTATCAATATAGGAACTATTCCATTGGGAGATAAGGAGGAAATTAGTGGAACCGTGTGTCAAGTTGGTTTCTCGCACACTTGTACTAAAAAAGTCACAATAAGAATTCTAAACTGTCGTGTATTCAGAGCATATTGTCTTACGGCTCTAGATGCCTGTCCAGAAAGATATTGTTTTGGTAAGCATATATACAACCATGAATATCAAGGCGTATTCATTCGGCTCATTGTATGCTACACTGTTTTGTAAATACAAAAACAAGTATACAAACACAAAATTAAACTTGCGCCTTTGTAAATGCAGACTGTAACGAATTTCTAACTTTGAAAAGTTAACATTTTTATTTGGAAACATTTTATGTCGTATTCTAGGAGAAGTAGATCCCAGTTGTCAATCAACAACGGAAGGAGAAATCACAACAAGTGTAACAGCGAGACTTATTGCAACATCACGTGGTGGTACATATTCTGTTATAACCAATCAAGTCATAACACGTAGTGGATCTGATCCGCTACGGGATGCGATTTCCGTACCAACTCAAAATACAACACTTCCTGGTGCTGATTCTTTTACCACCGCCAGGATAGCAACACCTTCCGATTCTGTTACAACCGCCCGGAAAGCAACACCTCCTGATTCTGTTACAACCGCCCAGATAGCAACTTTTCCTGATTCTGTTACAACTGCCCAGATCTCAACACTACCTGGTGCTGCTTCACTTGGTAAAACTAGATTTTAAGGATATCTTTTTATAGGAGTTTCAAACGATATAGAATTTTTTCCATACATCTCATTGCAGAAAAGTATAAATGTCGAGTGAGAAAAGTTAGTTCAATATTTATTGAAAACAATCCCGATAACTTTTTTTTACTTAACAATACAGTGTAATTATGTTGATATGCTACCTTCAATCTCCGTTGTATTAAAGGTTTTAATTAATATTTTTCCTCATGCAATCTACAACAATGTTTCAGTTGTATGTTTATTCAACGTGATATTTATAATGAATCATTTAAAAAGTACATTCAAATATTTCCAGATAATTTCAATGCATTGCCTACGGTGCTTTTGGTTTTAATCCCTTCATTACTGGTGTTGGTCATTTTGATTGGAATTTTTATAAGGTGACTTAGCTATATTTCAAATTGTAACGAACGTAAGTTGATTCGATTTAAATCTAGTTACATTTCACTTTATATAAATTTTTTGTTACAATATTTTCTAAATATACAGCTGTACTGAAATCATAACAACGAAGGTAACGAACAGAGATCAATATCTCAAACAAATCTACAAACGATGCAAATTTTTGACTGGAAAATAAAAAACAAGGATCCGGCAAAATTTCTTAGGTGAGATCGGGTGCTTAGGAGAATTAAGCATCTCCTATTGTACAATTACATCCGCCATGTGAGGTCATTATATATACAACTAGAAAACAATGTGAATAAATACAAAATGTTGTTAAGTGTGTGTGGTTTATTTTTGCAACCCTGAGCATATAAATATTTTATTGAAAATACCGTGGGTTTTTTTTTTGTCCTACGTTGAATGCTTTTGTCAATAACAAAGCATTATTTATTCACTTATGTATTGACATTTCAGGATTATATGTTACTCAACAATTTGCAAGAAGCCACTTGCCGTTATTACTCCAGAAAAGGAATATGACCATATCGACACAAGTGAGAGAAATGTTGAGGAAGGCCCATATGATCAGCTTAAAGTGAGAATGGGGGAAGTGCAGACAGTGACAGAGAGTAAGGAAAGAGAATATACTGATCTAGCAGAGAGAAAGGATGGAGAGTATGTTGATATAGAGGAGAGTAAGGATGGAGAGTATGTTGATATCGCAGAGAGTAAGGATGGACAATATACCGATCTCCTGGAGATTAAGGATTATCAACAAAAGGAACAAGAAGGCGAATATCAAGCATTGGAAAAGATCACAAACCAGAGTTTACAGTGTTAGTGACAGATACATGTAAAACGGAATCCGAATATAATCAGATCAAAGATGTCAAGAATGTTAATTTCAATTTATTTTATCAAAATGCTTATCAATTGTGCAATGTATATTACATGTACTAAGTATTGTTATAACAGTGTTTTGTTTGATTTTGTAAACAAGTGTATGTCAATTTGATATTTCAAAAAATGCTCATTCTGCGAACAGATATCAATGTGACATTGATCTCTTTAGAATAAAAACACTTTGAAACTAGAACAATTCTAATTTATTTTAACTGGTTATAATCAATCAAAATTTGCATAAGAAAAAATTTAAAAGACTACAAAAGACACAGTAGATATTCATGTTTGTCTGAATTCTATTGTTTTTATCCAATTTAAGATTTTCCCTAAATTCCGCTAGATTGTTTTCCAAGTCTAAATGTTTAACTGAAGTCAATTGGTTTGTTTTCCGAGTTAAAATGTTTCACTGAAATCGTTTGGTTTGATACACGTGTATAGATGTTTCCTTAAATTCAATTGGTTAGTTGTAAGGTTTTTAAAGTTTTGAAGAATTTCATTGGTTTGTTATCCGAGTTTAAAAGTTTCGCTTAATTTCATTAGTTTGTTATCCTAGTTTAAATGTATCGTTGCATTCCATTGGTTTACTATCCGAGTTTTAATATGTTGTTGAATTCAATTCGTTGGTTATCCGATATAAAATATTTAACTGATTTCATTGGCTTCTTATCCGAGTTTAAATGTTTCGATGATTTCCATTGGTTTGTTTTCAAAGTTTAAATGTTTCACTGAACTCCTTTGGTTTGGCTTCCGAATGATAATTTAAACGTTTCTTGAATACCATTGGTTTGTTATCCGAGTTTAAATGTTTCGTTAAATTCCATTGGTTTGTTATCCGAGTTTCAATGTTTCGTTAAATTCCATTGGTTTGTTATCCGAGTTTAAATGTTTCGTTGGTCTGAATTCCCTGTAGTTTCTCTGATATTCCTCCACCTCCACGCCCTCCCAATGATGAAACGTCAGGGGGTCTATAAACCATGAAAACATGTAAAATGAAATATATCGATAACGCGCAGTATTAAAGCTAAAATGCCATCATACAATAAAATCGTACGCATATAAAACACAGGAAACATGAGTCATATGCTTTGAGGAATGAGCATCCCCTGGCGACCAGTCACATCCGTTGTGTGCTTATTGTCTTGATCGGGAAATAAAGGAAAAACGGTAAAAATGATGACAACACGGTATATAACATTTTTGAATAAGTTTTCCTATTATATCACAAATGTAATATGTTTCGCTATAAACCCTGAACAATGCTGAGTCACACCGGAAACAGTTATGTCCGGCCGGAAACAGTTATGTCAACCCTCGCCGGAAACAGTTGTCATCCATTCGATCACGTTCACGTGTTGTTACGTTACGCATTTTAGCTCGGGTTTGAGATGTTATGACATCGGTTGCTAAGCAAATGTAAACAATGGAGCGTTATTCTTAACGTCAAGTAAGCATTTCTGGATTATTTGTGAAAATTTCAACGATTTTAAATGATTTGATTTTTTTTTTAGTTTTAAAAATGTCATATAACATATACCACATAGCTTCTCGGGCGACTATACCAGAATATTTGCCCCTCGTTGACATGAAAGCCCTGGAGTGTTATGTCACCCTCTGCCTTCGGCATCGGGTGACATAACACTCCAGGGCTTTCCTGTCACCTCGGGGCAAATATTCTGGTATGTCACCCTCGAAGCCATGTGATATATGTATAATGATAACTTTAGTTATTATTCTTTAATGTTAAATAATAAAATCAGATTGGATTAGACGCAGTAAACAATTTGTTCTATTACACTCAGCCTTAGCAACACAGTAACAACGGGTAACACAACAGTTATATAACATTTTTTAATAAGTTTTCTTATTTTATCACAAATGTAATAATTTTCGCTATAAACCCTGAAAAATGCTGAGTCACACCGGAAACAGTTATGTCACGCCGGAAACAGTTATGTCACCTCGATCACGTTCACGTGTTGTTACGTTACGCATTTTAACTCGGGTTCGAGACGTTATGACGTCGGTTGCTAAGCAAATGTAAACAACGGAGCGTTATTCTTAACGTCAAGAAAGCATTTCTGGATTATATTGAAAATGCCAACGATTTTAAATGATTTAATTTTTTTGTTAGTTTTAAAAATGTCATATAACATATACCACATGGCTTCTCGGGCGACTATACCAGAATATTTGCCCCTCGGTGACAGGAAAGCCCTGGAGTGTTATGTCATCCTCTGCCTTCGGCATCGGGTGACATAACACACTCCAGGGCTTTCCTGTCACCTCGGGGCAAATATTCTGGTATGTCATCCTCGAAGCCATGTGATATATGTATAATGTCACATGCGTGGAAAATATGCGCGTATGTTTCACCGTAGAATTCTCAAAACGCGTTTGAAAGAACCGGAATAAACTTGACGTCAATAACAGCGTGCGTCCGATGTAGCATCGATGAAAACAACAAATGACAGACGAAACATGCTTGCGATTGCAGAAATAACGAAACTTTATATGATAAAGGACTCCTAGAGTATCAAACAAACAATGAAGAGGTCAGTTAATCTTTTTCGCAGTAACAAGGAGATTGAAGGCTTTCTGAACTTGAACATAAAGACGATCGACGATTTTTTTTTATTTTATTATTTTTTTTTTTTTTTGTTTGCTTACAACCTTAATCAATAAGACATTCATTATAATAGAATAAATAATAAACAAATAAAAAACAACCTCCACTGTCGCGCCGATTGACAATGGTTTTCCTTTGGGGTGTCAATTTCAACTGTTACCCTCCAAAACAGGCACTATCTATATATTGTAGAAGCAACTCTTTTCCTTGAGGATATTATACTCGGCGACAAACGGTTATTGTGTCTTGCAGTACAAATATCTAAGATTAGATTTAGTTCAGATCCTGCTGTCGTTTGTAGCTGTTTTTAAACGTTTAAGTCATTTCTTTTTCACAAATCATGTAAGGAACTAATTTTAAATGCTGAAGCAATTTAAATTCGTCTCGATAAATCCAACTACATTCAAGAATTCAACTCCGCTTATCTTACGCGCTTGGCAAAACTCCGAGCTTAAAAAGTTCCAGCAAATCCCAGACATGAGTACAAAAGGAAGAGTTTTAGAGCTTATTATTTTAAAAGGTAAAATACAAGAGTTATTTACACACAAATACATCTTTCCTACCAAAAATTAAAACATTAAATAAATTATATATCACTGATCAACTATATTGTTTAGTAGATTTGAATAATTTTAACGATTATACTAAATATCATGTGTAAGACAATGTATTAATGAATAATAACGTAATTCTAAACGTAAAATGCTAATTAAATACCTTTTAATTATGTCAATTATCATGTTCCTGTTTTGATAGAGATGAATTGATTGCTGCCATATTCTTTCTAAGAATCTCCAAACTACAAATGAAAAATATAGCGTTCTTGATAGTGCTTAATTACCATTCCGAAATTTAAAAATATTTCATTACATAGTTGTTCAATATACAGTTCCTTAAATACAATAATTAAATATTTTTCAATAAATGAAAGCGAATTTGTGTTAGTTTTAACAATAAATTTAATAAAATTCAAGCCGCAAAAGTATCAAATTGCAAAATCAAACCTAAACCGTGCAGTGCTAAATAGAGTTGTATCAACACCGGAAAATCACATAGTATACGCAATAACCAATTTCATATATATCACAACCACTCTCCTTAAAATAAAAAAGATAAAGCTGATTAAATAAAAAGGGATAATAGTAGTTTTGTTCTTCAACTAGAGTTAATAAAAATGAATCAAAATTAAAGTCAATCAAGTTATTTGTATTTTTGCATATTTACGTGTATTGTCGTCCTCTGTGATCTTGTCTAAATTAAATTAAATGATACAATAATGATTTCTATGACACATATTTTACAAAACGTCGCTGCTTTGACCCATGCGTCTTTAATGTCCTTCCGGGCCGGGTGCCATTCCGGGGGGCCTCGATTAGACGGCAGACCCATAGCTATAGGGGAGGCATTAATTACGCCTATCCCTCTCTCCTATGATGTAAAAAGGTAGATATAACGAATACATATGGATTGCAAGAAATCTAAGAAACAAAAACAAATACATCAAGATGGCCTAAACACGGAACCCTGGAAATTGTAGAGGTTCGATCAGGTCCATATATGTAAGAGTAGTAGGCATATTTTATACTTATTAAAGCTCCAATTATTAAATTGGTGGAATTATTTCTGTTAGCAAATAATTTTTATCACTTTTTCATCTTGATCGTAGAACTTAAATTTGCTCACTTGAAAAAAATGGAATATATTTTTGAAGACTGTTGTCATGGATACACGCTCTACAGTAAGTCAGTATTGTGTCAATCTTCACTGTACTTCTTTCAAGTACTTTTCTAAGAGATACAAACAGAAACAGGCAACTGACTGAAACAGGTGTGGAATACATTAAATTAAACAATATTCACAACGGGTATGATTGGTTCACAGGGATGTTTGCCCTTCCAAGGCACCTGATCCCACTTCCTGCAGTTTTCAGGGCTGTAATTTGTGCTCTGTTCACAACGTTATATTGTATTTCAAAAATCTGATTTCGATTGCTGCTTTGTGCTCTGTTCACAACGTTATATTGTATTTCATAAATCTGATTTCGATTGCTGTTTGTTTTGTTCATGGAATTCTCAAATCATTGTTGCTTATAAAATTAAACTCTGTCAAGGTCCTATACTATACTGAGTAAACTCGCTCATGTATAAATTTAGAGGCGGCCGTCCTTATCAACAGATGACGTAATCATAATATACAATATGTAGTGACATTTAAATTCAAAAACTAAATTACGGCAGTGCTCCTCGTCCATTAATAGTGATGTAGCATATATGGAGCAACACTTTATTGTTTATTCGTATCAGGAATTGTGAACTAAATGTAACGACACTTGAGCAGCGACGCCGACAAACCTGTACAAAGGCAGCTTAAAATTATTACAGGTAACAGCTGTACATGTTGCCTTAATAGTATTTAAGTTTAAAGTCATTGATGTGAGTTTAATATGTATATTTTGTAGGAAAAATTTATCGCGAGAAACACAGTTGAAAAGCAAATGATTAAGAATGCAAAATTAATTCTTCAAATGGTCACTACAAAACATCTCTATAATTATTTCCTAAAATAAGTTTCATATGGTCCTTTTATGTTCGAGGATTCAAAGGATACGAAATAACGATAGCAATCGGTTTTTTGTATGTACGAGAAGATTATGAGAAAATTCGACTGAAAAGGAGAGTACCAAATCATGGTGAGTAGCATTGTCATCTTGTGACCGTTCAGTCTCCATACTTTTATTTAAAAAAGCTCTCAATCCATTTATTTTGGATCGTTTTGAATATGAAATATTGCAATGTTCCATCTTTCTGGAGTAATTAAAAATAACAAAACAAACACTATATAAAAATCATATATTGTTTTCAACAGAATTTGCAACGTATTTAAGAACATGTATATTAGATGTTGTTCAAAGAACTGCGAACGATAGTATTCACCCCTACTAATGTGTTCGTGAACCTTTTATTTTTCGGTGTTCTTTAAATTATAATTCCCGATGAGTTCAGAATAGCTCTGACAGTGGCTCTGGCAAGAGTTAGCGAGACTACAGCGAAATAGGGTAAATAAATCACGGAAATGTGGCTAGGAAGTGACTAGCACGTGGAGACATGGTAAACAGAAAAGTTATGTTGCGTTTCAGTTTTTACCACCCTATAATATCTGTAGAAATGCACTTCATTCGATCTACACTACATTCATTCAAATTTAAACAAGTATTCTCTATATTACAATTTACTGCAGTCATGAATTAAAATTTCTTTTTGGACAAATATTTTTATATGGGAACCGGGACTATAGGCCTTCACAGTGCCCCGCGAGACATCGCGAGATTTCGTTTCTGGAGATAAACAAAGAAGACGCCATATTACT